GAGGGGGTCCCGGTGTGAGGTGGTCCCCGGTGTGAGGTGGTCCCGGGTGTGAGGGGGTCCCGGTGTGAGGTGGTCCCAGTGTGAGGTGGTCCCGGTGTGAGGGGGTCCCCGGTGTGAGGTGGTCCCCGGTGTGAGGGGGTCCCCGGTGTGAGGTGGTCCCCGGTGTGAGGTGGTCCCGGTGTGAGGGGGTCCCTGGTGTGAGGTGGTCCCGGTGTGAGGTGGTCCCCAGGTGTGAGGTGATCTCGGATGTGAAGGGGTCCCGGGTGTGAGGGGGTCCCGGGTGTGAGGTGGTCCCGGGTGTGAGGTGGTCCCGGGTGTGAAGGGGTCCCGGGTGTGAGGTGGTCCCGGGTGTGAGGTGGTCCCCAGTGTGAGGTGGTCCCGGGTGTGAAGGGGTCCCGGGTGTGAGGTGGTCCCGGGTGTGAGGTGGCCCCGGGTGTAGGTGGTCCCCGGTGTGAGGTGGTCCCGGATGTGAAGGGGTCCCCGGTGTGAGGTGGTCCCGGGTGTGAGGTGGTCCCGGGTGTGAGGTGGTCCCGGGTGTGAGGTGGCCCCGGGTGTGAGGTGGTCCCCGGTGTGAGGTGGTCCTGGGTGTGAGGTGGTCCCGGGTGTGAGGTGGCCCCGGGTGTGAGGTGGTCCCCAGTGTGAGGTGGTCCCGGGTGTGAAGGGGTCCCGGGTGTGAGGTGGTCCCCGGTGTGAGGTGGTCCCGGGTGTGAGGTGGTCCCCGGTGTGAGGTGGTCCCCGGTGTGAGGTGGTCCCGGGTGTGAGGTGTTCCCGGTGTGAGGTGGTCCCGGGTGTGAAGGGGTCCCGGGTGTGAGGTGGTCCTGGGTGTGAGGTGGTCCCGGGTGTGAGGTGGTCCCCGGTGTGAGGTGGTCCTGGGTGTGAGGTGGTCCCCGGTGTGAGGAGAGAGAACCACGGGCCAGCTGCCTCCTGCAGGGGTTCTACTGGGGATCGGGCTCGGCACCTGGGTGGGTGCCCTTGACCGAGAATCAAACCGTGTGACCTCCTGGTTCCCGGGCCAGCCCGCAACCACTGAGCCACACTGGCCGGGTCCTTTTTGTTTGTTTTTAAATGTAATCCCCGCTCCTGACCCAGCGGGGGCTGCAGAGGGCCCCACGGCTGCAGCCTCGTCCGTGTTTCGAAGGACGAGGTTCTCAGTGGCCTTGTCTTTGGGCTCTCGCACCGGGTGCAGCCAACAGGCCACACATGGCCACAGCCGTCCTCGGCCTGACCGACCAACGTTCCTTCGCTTCCCGGTCATCCTGGGGCAGAGGCGCCTGTGCCGGGTTCGAGCCGGGCTGTTGTCCCTCCATCCGCTGCACCACCGTCACCTGCAGAGCGGACACTGAGGCTCAGAGGCGCGGAGGCTGGGTCGAGAACACTGGGCTCGGTCCCGCTGTCCTGGCCCCGTGGCTGAGTGTCGACCTGTGAACCAGGAGGTCAGGGTTCGATTCCCGGTCAGGGCGCAGGCCCGGATGGCGGGCTCCATCTGCAGGGTGGGGCGTGCAGGATGTTTCTCTCTCTCTCTCTCCCTCTCCCTTCCTCTCCGAGATCAATAAAAACATATTAAAACACACACCACTGGGCTCCCAAGTGCCTCAGCCTCCGACCCCCACCCAGCGGGTCAGGGCCCAGGTCTCTCCGCTCCGGGGGCCGCCCCCCGCCGCCCGGCCTCTGTCCCCGCGGAGGGCGGGCCGGGAGCCGGGGAGCAGCAGTTCCGAGGAACCAGCTGGCCCTCGCTCCCCGCATCACGCGGAGCGGTGACGTGGCCGGGAGGGGGCCGGCCGGGCTGTGGTCAGGGAGCCTATTTATACCGGCCGCGCCGTGTGTGTCGCAAGCCCTTCCTGCCGGCGACAGGGACGTCATCGGGCGCTGACCTCACCAGAAACGCTGACGCATCTCCCCTCACGCTTCGCTCTGATGGCCGGCCGGCCGGCCGGGCCTCCTGGCCTGGGGACCCCTGGGGTCCCCCTGCCCACGAGGTCACGGGGCAGGCCGAAACCGGTGTGGCACCGTGGATAGAACGTCGGCCTGTGGGCTGAAGGGTCCCGGGTTCGATTCCGGTCAAGGGCACGTACCTTGGTTGCAGGCACATGCCCGGTGGGGGGTGTGCAAGAGGCAGCTGATTGATGATTTAATCTCATATTGATGTTTCTGGCTCTCTATCCCTCTCTCTTCCTCTCTGTAAAAAATCAATAAAATATATTTTTTAAAAAAAAAGGAGAAGAAGAAGAAGAAGAAGAAGAAGAAGAAGAAGAAGAAGAGGAGGAGGAGGAGGAGGGAGAGGATACAGACACACACACACGGGCCGAGGGAGGGCCACGCGAGGGGGCAGCCGGAGAGGGGCTGTGGGATGCGTCGGCCTTGCTGACACCTCGCCGACCCCGGACTTCGAGGTCCAGGCCTGAGAGGAAGCAGGTTCCTCGCGCACCGGCCGCCCGGACTGCGGCCTTTAGGTCTGGCGTCCGGGGCAAGCCGACAGAGGAGCCGTTTCTGCCTGTGGCGGCCCTGGTCCCTGGCACCTGCACGGACCCTCTGTGAGCCCTGAGCTCACAGCCTCTGCAGGGCCACCATGCAGGGTGACCTCAGGCAGTGACCTCATGCCTCAGGGGGATGTACACACAGAGTGGCCGGATGACGATGATCTCTGAACGCATGATATTCCGGCCACTCAGTGTGTATCCTATAGAATAAAAGGCTAATATGTAAATTATCCCCACGACCAGGAGTTCGACCAGCAGGCAGGCCGGCCAACTGTCCATGTCCCCTTCCCCAGACCAGGCTGGCAGAACCCCACCCGCGCACGAATTTAAGCATCGGGCCTCTAATACACACAAACACACACACACACACACACACAGAGTGGCCAGATTATTATGCGTTCAGAGATCATCATAATGATGATCACACTAGGGAATGGCACACGAAATTTGTCCTTGCAACCCCAGCTTTGTCCAGAAGGTCCTTCTGCTGTCTGGTCTAATTAGCATATTACACTATATATATATATATATATATATATATATATATATATATATATATATATAAATTGGTTTCAGAGGAGAATGGAGAGGGAATGAGAAAGAGAAACATCAATGATGAGAGAGAATCATGGACCGGCTGCCTCCTGCAAACCCCACACAGGGGATGGAGCCCGCACCCCGGGCGTGGGCCCTGTCCGGGAATCGAACCCTGACCTCCTGGTTCACAGGCCGATGCTCAGCCACTGAGCCACGGCGGCCTTGTTAAGCCCGGAGACAGTGGGGAGAGGAGGAGGGTGCCCAGGCTGCCCCCCGAGGACGGAGACCCGTCCGCGGGAGCTGAGAGGGGCCGGGAGCTGCCCAGCCGAGCTTCTCTGAATTTCAGTTTCCTCCCGCTCAGGAGCCAGCACGCCCTGCCGGCCGCGCCCCCTCACGCGGCTGTTGCAAAACGCGAGCGGGATGTGAAATGAAGAAGGAGCGGCGAGGCAGGGGCGCAGGAAGCGGCTCGCGGGGGTGGGCCCCGAAATGAGGAATTGAGCGGGAGCAACGCGCTCAGCGGAGAATCCAGAGCCGGCCCTCGGGGTGGCGATGGTGGGGTGACCGGGCAGTGGGGTGATTGGCCACCGTGGGGTGATGGGACACGGTGGGGTGACCGGGCAGTGGGGTGACGGGGCACGGTGGGGTGATTGCCTATGGCACAGCGAGCGCCCTGCTGGGGTGCCAGGGAGTGGGCGGGCTGAGGAGCCGCCTGGGCACAGGGCGCATCTGGGGGCGCCCACTGTGGAGCCCGGCACCTGGGTGGCTGGCACAGGGGCGGCAAGGGGGCCATTTGCTGAATGAATGAAGGCTTTTAAAAAAAAAAAAAATAATAATAATAATATATTTTATTGATGTTTTACAGAGAGGAAGGGAGAGGGATAGAGAGTTAGAAACATCGATGAGAGAGAAACATTGATCAGCTGCCTCCTGCACACCCCCTACTGGGGATGTGCCCGCAACCAAGGTGCATGCCCTTGACCGGAATCGAACCCGGGAACCTTGAGTCTGCAGGCTGATGCTCTGTCCATTGAGCCAAACCAGTCAGGGCAACGAAGGCTTGATTGGTCATCTCTGCAGAGGGGACAGCCCGTGGGCACAGCATGGGTGGCCATGACGGGTGCCAGGGTTGGAGATGGTCAGGGCCCATTCGCCCTGGCACCTGGGTTTTGCCCGTCCAGGCTCCGGAGGCCTCTGGCCAGCCACCTGCTCCCAGGCCCGGCCAACGTGCTGGACCACCAGGCGGGGCCTGCAGGCCTGGGCAGCCCCTCTGCCCCCTCTGCCCCCGCCTGGGCCTCGGTTTCCCTCCTAGGGAGGCACCGTCTCCAGGCCCCTTCCCGCTGGCGCTTGGAGGCCTGTGGGCCGGGAGGACCAGCCCACGATCGCTATCTTTCAGAGAAAGTGAAACCTGGTGCCAACCGTCACCACGGCGACTCCCCCTCCGACTGGTTTCCCCTCTGAGCTCACGGCTTTCCCCTCCCCCCCCCCACATCCCTCCCTACCCCACCCACCACTCCCCAGCTAGTACTTTGAATCAGGCTTTCGTCTTTCCCTTTCCCTTCAAAGAACCCTCGCCTTTTATGTCCATGACGCGGGCCCTGTGAGGTGGCTTTTCAATTCCTCCTCCTGCAGGTGGGCTGAGGCCCGGAGGGCGAGGCAGGTCCCAGAGCTGGCCAGCGGGCTCGGACCCGTGTCCCCCAGGAGGACCCCGCTGTAGGGGTACCGGGGGCGCGGTGGGCATGGGAGCCGAGCCCCGCTGTGGGGCATGCAGGTCCCGGGGCCGGACCACAATCTCGGGGCTGCCAGCCTGGGTCTGGCCCTGTGCCCAGAACCCAGCGGTTTCCGCTCGCAGATGTCCCAACAGCCCCGCGGAGGGCGGGAAGGCACCGAGAAGGAAGGTGTCCTGCTCCCCTCGGCCCCAAACCACAGTGGCCCCGAGGCCGCCGGCTCCTGGGCTGAGACTGGCCGTGGGCCTGGCCGGCCGGCCTGCCCCTCCGTCTCCCCCCTGCCCGCCCGCCCGGCGCCCCGCCCGCCGATGGCGCGGCCCCCCGGCCCCCGGCCCCCGGCCCCCAGGAAGGTCGGGGCCGCGCTTTGCATCACCCCTGGGCGTCGGGCTGCCCTCGAAGAACGAATTCGAAGAAAACAGGAGGAGGAGCGGCGTGCGCGGCGCCGGCGCCCATTGGCCGCCCGTGGGGACCTCGGTTTTCGGGGTCATGTTCCCAGAAGGCCTGCCCTCCCCCCTCCCCTCCCCACCCACCCGGGAGGTGTTGGCCAATCGCTCGGGCAGGCAATAAAGTGGCTGACAGCCCGCGGGGCTCCCAGCCCGGAGGTGGCACCCCCGCCAGGCGCAGGCCGGGAGCTCGGACACCAGCATGTGGGCACCGCCCGCGAGGAGGACGCTGCTCAGTAAGTACTTCCTTCCTCCGCGCCGGCACCTGCTCACTGGGAGCCACGGGCGCCTGCGGGGAGCGGGGTACCTCCGTCCGCCCCCCACCCCTCCCCCCGGGAGCTGGGGAGACCGAGAGAAGGATGCTGAGACAGAGAGAACATGGCATCTTCACAGCGGGGGGCAGGGCATCCCAGGAGGGCTTCCAGGGGGAGGCATCGCGGAGCCGGCTCAGGGAGCCGGGGCGGGGGCCGATGGGGTGAGCGGCGGGGGCAGGAGGCGGGGGGAGGAAGCCAGAGCCGCGGAGCGGGAAGACACGGGGCAGGCGGACCGGAGGGCCCCCTTCTCGCCTTGATTTGCAGGGTCACACACCCCGCCAGGCAGGGGCCCCCAAGCCCACACAATCACACAGCCCCATAGCCACACCCACAGGGTGACACGCGCAGGCAGAGCCCCGTGACATCATCGGGCGCCCTCAATCTCACCAGCCCGGGAACCCCCACCTGCGGCCGGGGCCCCCCGCCGGCCGGGCTCCCATCTGATGATCTCTGCAGCCCAGCACAGAGCTGCGCAGGCCGCAGGCACACGCCCTGGCCGGCACGCACACTCCGCACACATGGGGGCGGGGGCCTGGGAAGGGGGGCCCGCTGTGCCCGAGGCCCGGCCCCCGCCCCCCCCCAGCATCTTCCCCGCAGCCCGGGGGGCCCTCGGAAGGGAACTGGTGTCACCGCCTTCCGGCCATTGCACCACGGCCCCTTCCGACCACGTGGCTGCCGGGGGTGGGGGGAGGCGGGCGAGCCGTCCCTGTGCCCGGCTCCCCCACCCCCGCCCCACACATGCCCACCGGCTCCCAGCACCCCTGTGGGCCTGGCGGGCAGGAGTGGCCACCTGTCTGTGGAGAGAGGAGGGAGGCTCGAGGCTGGGGGGCAGGCTGGCGCTGTGTGACTTGGGGAACCCTGCTTCGGACCTCGGTCTTCCTGGCAGTAAAATGGGTCTGTCACGGGGGCCGGGGGTAGGGTGGGGCAGGAGCCGTTCCTGAGCCCGGAGACGTGGCCGAGAGAGTCCCGCCCGGTCCGGCCCCGTGGGCTCCGGGCCCGGCCTCCTCGGGGCATCGCAGCCGCCGAGGTTTCGGGTGCTGGGCAGGGCCCCCCCGGTGGGCCCGTGTGTGGGCAGCGTGGGTACCCGTGGCTCAGATCCAGGAGGATGGGTGCATCCTCTGAGCCCCCCACCCGTGGCTTCCTCGCCGCGCCAGGTGACACCCCCTCTCTCTGCCCCAGTTCTGACCCTCAGGCTCCTGTTCCTGCACCCTGCAGCCCCCGGCGCCTGCCCGGGCAGCAGCCAGGAGCTCCTCACGCAGCTGTGGAAGCTGGCGAACCTCATGCAGCACCCCGGCTCGCTCCTGGAGCCCTACGTGAGCACCCGCCCGCCCCGGGGGGGGGGTGGGCACGGAGTCTCCGAGGACTCGGCCTGACTCAGCGCAGGAGGGACCCCCCAGAGGACGGGCATGGGGTGGGGAACCACGCCCCCGTGTTATTCCGGCTAACACCCCTCGGAGGCGTACCCCCGGCTCAGGGGCCTGGAGGGCGACCCTCCCTCTGCCCGGCACGCTTACCACACACCTGCCATGGCCTGTCCTCGGCCGCCGAGGCCCAGCCGCGGGCAAAACAGTCCTGCTCCCCCGAGGCTCATGTCACCCTCCCACCGACACGCCCCGCACTGTGGTCCCCCCACAGACTCCCTGCATCCCTCCGACCTCGCTCCCTGCAGTAACCGGGCGTCTTCTCCCTCTTGGGCCTCAGTTTCTGGGTCTATACAATGGGCGGATTAGATAGGGGGTGGACGAGGGAGGTCGAGCATTGCAAGGCTGACCAGAGCAGACGTGTGTGTGAGTGTGTGTGTGTGTGTGTGTGTGTGTATGAGTGTGTTTGTGTGTGTGAGTGTGAGTGTGTGTATGTGTGTGTGTGAGTATGAGTATGTGTGTGTGTATGAGTGTGTTTGTGTGTGTGTGTATGAGTGTGTGTGTGTGAGTGTGAGAGTGTATGTGTGTGTGTGTGAGTATGTGAGTGTGAGTGTGAGTATGTGTGTGTGTATGAGTGTGTTTGTGTGTGTGTGTGTGAGAGTGTATGTGTGTGTGTATGTGTGTATGAGTGTGTTTGTGTGTGTGAGTGTGAGTGTGTGTGTATGTGTGTGTGTGAGTGTGAGTATGTGTGTGTGTATGAGTGTGTTTGTGTGTGTGTGTGTGTGAGTGTGAGAGTGTGTGTGTGTGTGTGTGTGCGCGCGCGCGCCTGCACGCACAGTGGGGGCTCCGGCACTCACCCCGATTCTCCTCCTTCCCCCCCAGATCCAAGTCCAAGGCCTGGAGGAGTCGGGACTGGCCGGGAGCTGCCGGCAGCGGCCCGGGGCCTTCCCCGGCCTGCAGGAGCTGCGGACGCTGGGCCCACGGGCCTTCCTGCAGACCCTGAGCGCCCAGCTGGGCCCCGTGCTGCGCCGGCTGGCCGCACTGCAGCAGGAGGCCCCCCACCCGGCCTGGGGCGAGGCCCAGCGCTACCTGCTGGGCATCCGGAACAACATCCACTGCCTGGCCCTGCTGCTGCCCGCCCCCCCGGAAACGCCCGGCCCCCCGCCGGCGCGCCCCAGGACCCCCCCGCCGCCCCCCGCCACCCCCAACAGCTTCGCCCGCAAGCTGGAGGGCTGCTGGCTGCTGCACGGCTTCCACGGCTTCATGCGCGCGGCCGGCCAGGTCCTGGGCGAGTGGAGGGCGGCCCCCGGCCCCCGGAGCCGCAGGCACAGCCCCCGCCGGGCCCTGCGGGGCGGGGGGCGCCGGCCGCGCGGGAGGCAGCCCCCCAGGAGGGGCCGGAGACAGGAGCCCCGGGGACAGCCGCCCCGGTAGCCTCAGGGGTCCCCCGCCCCTCCCAGCAGGGGCAGGACCAGCAGGTGCTCCTCAGGAGACTCCCCGCCTCCACACCTGCTCCCCGTCTCTCCGACGTGCACTTTAAAGGGGTGACAGCCCGCAGGCTCCTCTACCTCCTCCCGGACGGGAGACAGGACGTGTGTCTCCCCCCTCCCCCAGCCCCGAGTTCCCCCAGCCCGGGGGGGCGGCCGGGCCAGGCCACGTGGGGCCAGCTTTCCATTGATTCAGGGGTCTGATGACACAGGCTGACTCACACCAGACGGCCGCCCCCCCGCCCGGCCCGGAGTGCTGCCGGCCGGCCCTCTCATGACTGGCAGAGCCGTGGCCCCCAGACTTCCTCCTTTCGGGGCCGGTGTGGTTCTGGGGGTGGGGGTGGGGGTGGAGAGGGGGGCGGTCAGGGCCTGAGCTGGGCTCCGATGCCTCATCACCGGACACCTGGACGTCTGGGTGACCTCACTGGGGCAGCGATGACAGGGCAGAGCGTCCTGCAGGAGAGACTGGGGGGTGGGGTGGGGGACGGCCCACGGACAGGGGGACGGGGGTCAGGGCCCCGCCTGGCCCCTCGCTCACGGCCTGGCCTCGGGCCGGCCCACTTGACCTCTCCAGCCCTCTATTTTTATTTTTAATATATTTTATTGATTTTTGTACAGAGAGGAAGGGAGAGAGACAGAGAGCTAGAAACATCAAGGAGAGAGAAACACCGACCAGCTGCCTCCTGCACACCCCCCCCGCTGGGGATGTGCCCGCCACCAAGGTGCATGCCCTCGACAGGAATCGAACCCGGGACCCCTCAGTCCGCAGGCCGACGCTCTAGCCACTGAGCCTCACCGGCTTCGGCTGGCCTCGGTTTTAACGTCTTTGTGAATGGAAGGGGTCGGGAGACCCCAGGCCTGTCAGCCACTGGGACTCACTGACAGAGGATGGCTTTCGAAGGGACACGCCGGGCAGGGACCCGGGTGCAGACTGAACTCCCTGGTGCCGGGGACTTCCCAGCCGGCGCCTGCCTGGCCTTGGCCTTGGGTTCTGGCCGCTGACGGCTCCCCCTGGTGGTGGGCCTTGGAATGTTTCTCGTGCTGAAACCAATTGTCCTGACGGGTTCTGGGCCCATGCCTGGCTCAGAGGAACAGGATTAATTTATCGATCTTTTTATTTTTAAATATCAGTTTGTATCTGTTTTTTTTTTTAAAAAAAACAACACATTTTATTTATGAGGCTTATTTATGATGTGTATTTAAATGTTAATATTGTGCCAACGTATATTTAAAACTTTGCCTGGTTTCTAAGCCCCTGTGTCTCTGTGTTGCCTTGGGGGGGGGAGGGCTTGGGGGAGGCTGGTCTCTGGGAGAGGGGGTGCCCCTCGCTGGCAGGGTCACCAGCGCCCACCACCGAGGGCCGGATGGGAGCTCCCTGCCGGGCCAGGAGGGGAAGTCTCCCGGCCAGCCTGGCTGTGGGGGCGTCGTCAGCGCAGACAGAGCGTGTGTTGTGTCTGACCGGTCTCTCCCTGGAGACGCCGGGGCCTCGGGCTGCGGGGTTTGGGCCACGTGGGCAGGGGCGCGGGCTGGACGGAGCGTCTGGCTGGCTCCGGCCGACGTGGGCCTGCGGCCGGGGTCTGTGTGCCGACGCGTGTTAGAGCATGAAGTGAACAGGACCGTGGCCCGGGGCCCGGTGTGCGCTCGGCACTGCTCCCTCCCCGAAGGGCCCCGGGGATGTGGGGATCCCCTTCTGGGCCCCAGAAAACGGGGCTGCCTCTCGGTGCTCCAGGCCCCACCTCAGCAGAGGCACCCGTAGGCGATGGGTGATGTGCTAAGGCAGAAGCTACCAAGGAAAGGCTAGGGGGAGCCGGTGACCTGGATCCGGCCCCGGCCAGCAGTCAGGGCCTCCTTCGCAGAGGAGAAGACGGAGTTTCAGAGAGTTTGAGTCCCCTGGCCGCGACCTCAGAGCACTTTCCTGCGGAGGGAGCATTTAAAAAAATATATATATATTTTTTTTATTGATTTTTCACAGAGAGGGAGGGAGAGGAATAGAGTTAGAAACATTGATGAGAGAGAAACATCCATCAGCTGCCTCCTGCACACCCCCCACTGGGGATGTGCCTGCAACCAAGGTAACATGCCCTGGACCCGAATCGAACCTGGGAACCTTCAGTCCGCAGAGCGATGCTCTATCCACTGAGCCACACCGGTTTCAGAAAAAGGGGGAGGAGGGATGTTTTGAATGCAGGTCCCTCCGAGGCCAGGCAGGGAGCACCTTCCTGCTCCCCTCCAGCCTCGGTCACTCCGCCGACCACTTCCTGAGTCCCTGAGGGCACAGAACCCTCACTGCCCGGAGCTGCCGAGGACGGAGGCCGCCCCCTCCCCGCCCTGCCCGGCACCCAGCCCCGGGCCGCACACAGTAGGGGCTCAGGACGGAAGAAGCCCCGGAGGGAGTCACCGCCCGAGGAGTGTGCCAGGCATTGCGGCCCGGATGGGGCCCCAGGTGCCCCACCCCAGCGCGGGGTGGGGTGGGGGTGGGGGTGGGGGGTTCCTGGCTGGCTGCTGGGAAGCTGTGGGTGGCAGGTGGCAGACACCGAACGCCAGGCTGGCCCGGGGCTGGCGCTGCCGGGGGCCTGCGGTTGCCCACGGCGAGGGCAGAGGTTGGTCTGCGGAGGAAGAGCTGGGAAGCCCAGGGGCGGCGCCCCACCTCCGGCCGGGCCCCCAGATGAGGCCCAGGAGGGGACCTGAGCTGGCACCCTCTCGCCAGGAAGCAGATCCAGGGTCTCCAGACTCTGGGGCAGGGGTCCCAGGCCCCCCCCCCAGCCCCCCGAGAGGATTTGTCACCCCCCACTGTCTCCCGCGGAGATTGCAGCCTCGGGGCCCACACTGGCACCTTTCCAAGCCCACACCCACAGCCCGCGGCCAGGAGCACCCGTGGGCGCCTCCAGGCCACACTCACCCCAACCGATCACCGTTCTGCGCCTTCCTGCCCCAAGGGAAGTCCCAGACCCCACCCCACCCCCTGCTCTTCCCTCAGCCTCGCCCCCGCCCCCCATGGATCACAGAGACCTGACCCCATCGAGGGCAAGTGCCTTCTCCCCCCCCCCCCAACCAGGCCCTGGCTCCTGGCCACGGCCCAGCTCTCACCGTCATGCCTTCTGCTCACAGACCTGCCCTGATGCCCCGGACCCCTCCCCACCGCAGCCAGCCCCCGGCTCAGGGCCAGCCAACCTGCTGGCTCAGCTCAGCACACGCTGCCACCCCCCCACCCCTACCCCCCACTTCCCCCGGGGCCTCCTGGACCCCCCAAAGCCTGCATTTCCCCTCCCCACTCCTCCCACCGCCACCCAGAGGTCAGCTTACATGTCTCCTCCTCCTTTTGTTTGTTTGTTTTTAATATATCTTATTGATATTTTAGAGAGAGGAAGGGAGAGGGATAGAGAGCTAGAAACATCGATGAGCGAGAAACAGCGACCACTGCCTCCTGCATACCCCCCACCAGGGATGTGCCTGCAACCAATGTGCATGCCCTCGATCGGAATCGAACCTGGGACCCTTCAGTCCGAAGGTCGACGCTCTGTCCACTGAGCCAAAAACGGTTTCCGCTCCTCCTTCTTTTATTAACATATTTTTTATATTGATTTGAGAGAGGAAGGAATAGGGAGAGAGAAAAATATCCATGAGGAGAGAGAATCACGGATCGGCTGCCTCCTGCACGCCCCCCACTGGGGATTGGGCCCGCAACCCGGGCCTGTGCCCTTGACCGGGAATCGAACCGTGACCTCCTGGTTCCTAGGTCGACACAACCACGGAGCCACGCCAGCCGGGCTATCCGCCGGATCTAATGCGATTCCTCCCTTTCTGTGGGAGGAGAGTTAAAGGAGTTTAAACCCAGCTGCCTGCCCTGCAGCCGTGGGACTTGGGGGGGGGCTCCACTCTCTCTCCGCACAGGGGGCCCGCCTGGGGGCAGATCTTCTGGGAGGCAACACGCAGACACACACACACACATGTGCACGCACGCACACACGCACACACGCATGCACACACGCACACGCATGCACGCAGCGCTCGACCTGCAGCCACCAGCTCCCTGGGCAGGTGCACCAGCCGCGTCCCCTCTCTTCTCTCTTTCCCTTTTCTCTGGTTTCCTTTCCTCCCGGCTGTGTCCCCGTCCCCCCACCCCCGCCCCCACCTCCCCAGGCCCCGAGTGTCCACAGAACCCCTTCCCCGGAGGGGAGGTCACAGTCCAGCCAGCGGGGAGGCCGGGGCGGGTGGCCCCACTTCCTGGGCGTCCCAGGGCGGGGAGGGGCGGGGAGGGGCGAAGGTCCGGAGCTGGCAGGTGGGGCCCAGGGAGAGCTGGAGGCGGGCGGGCGGGCCAGGTGCTCGCTCGGAGGCGGGAGCGGTGGCGGGCCAGGAGCCGGCCGGGGGCAGCCGGCCTGGGCCCGTCGGGGGACCGTCCGGGGACCGTCCGGGCCCGGGCATGGCCCCGGTGCGCACGGCCCGTGGCAGGTCTGAGTCAAAGCCCCGGAGGCCGACCCCGGCCGGTCATGCGGAGGGCTGCCCAGTCATCGCCTTATGCCCGGCCACTCAGGAGCCGGGCGCCGCCCCGTCCCGACCCGTCCACGGTGACTCAGGGCGGCCGGCTGCCACGCAGCACGGCAGGCGCTGGAGGCACGGGGACGCCCCCGCCCCCCGAGGGTCCCCGTCTGCCCCGGGCCACCCTGAGGCCCCTGCCCCCGGCGCCAGGGTCCTCTCCCATCACCTGGGCTTCTCTGCCCCGGCCCCCAGCCCTTCGCCGGGGGGTGGGGTCGAAGTGGGGGGAGCCTCCGCGCCACCCGGCCCTCGACGGGAAGTCAAGTGGGGGGTGGGGTGAGGAGCCGGCTCCAGAGAAGATCCAGCCGGAGAGGGAAGCAGAGGGGGCCCGGGCCCCGAAGCCGGCAGTGTCCCCGAGAGATCCAGCGCTCACCCTGCAAGACGCCGGAGGTCCTCGGCGGGCGCACGGTAGGCGCCCCGGTGGGGCGGGCAGGGCGGGGGGTAGACGCCGGCCCCCGGTGTGTCCTCCTCGCAGGGCCATCGTCCCCTCCCCCCTCGTGCATCCGGGAGGCCCCTGGCGGCCCCCGCGGTTCCCCGGGCCTCAGTGGCTCCATCTGCGTAATGGGTACGGCCAGCCTGCCCTGCCACCTCTCTCTCCCCGAGGATGTGGAGGCGAAGAGGACACAGGCCAGACGGTGGAAGTGTCCGGCGGCCACGTGAGGGGTCAAAGATCGCCCTGGGGTTAAAGGGCAGGGGAGAGGGAGGGAGGGATGGGGAGGGCAGACGCCCGGCTCCGTGTGATTCCTCGAGGCACCCCTCTGGGGATGGGGACTCCCAGGTTCCCGGGGGGCTTTCCTGTTCCCTGTCCCTCCAGAGGGGTCGTGGGGGGGGGGTCCTTTGGGAGGAAGAGGGTGAGGATGGCGTTTGTCTGAGTGAAGTGTCCCTCCCCCCACCCGCCGCCCCCGGGAGGCCACGGTGGGGC